ATGATGTTTACTTAACAATATTTGACAAAGTTTCTCTTATTACATATCGCATAGGTTACCATAACATTGCCCTTCACAGGCATAACTATCACAAATATTAAGATAGCTGAGAATTTTCAGCAGAGCAAATATTTGGGGGAAATTATGGAACCTTTGTGTATTGGAGTTGGGAGGTGCTTTTAAGGATTACAGTCTTTCTTCAGTTGTAATTTTAGCCTAAGGTCAACCATGGCCCAAAAATATTAAATGGAAAAGTCCAGAAATAACACTTTGTTTTTTGAAACAGGGTCTCATTATGGTGTTCACACTGGTCTCAAACTCACTGTGTAGCCCAGGCTGGCCTTGAATTAGAAGTCATCCTCTTGCCTCAGCCTCTCCAGTGCTAGGATGATAGGTGTGTGCCACCATGCCCGACTAGAAATACACCATTTATACATTTTAAATTGCACAGTCTTCCAAGTAGTGTGAGGAAATGTTGTGCCGTCTTGCCAAGGAAGTGAATCATCCCTTTTGTCCCTGTTATCCGTGCTATGTGCTACCTACCTGTTGATCCCTTATCTTTTGTGTTATCTGGTCAGCTCTCTTGGTATTTCGGGTTTGGTGCTGTCCGAGATTCCAGGTATGCACTTGAATGTCTTGCAGACTATTCTTTTTGGTGTGATGGGTACTGTACTTTATTCCTTTCATTTAACATGGATTAATTTGCCTATCTTTTGAGACTTTACACAAACTAGCCTAGACCAGTAACAACTGTTTATGGAAAGATTTCCGTAAGTGGTAATACTATTATAGAGTCTGACACGGAGACCCTGGGAAGAATTTTTCATTGATTCCAACTTTAATGTTTCCTACTGCTGTTTTATTTTTTACTGAATCTTACAGCAGAGAAATATCTTACTATCCTTTTAGAAATGACCAGTTGTGTAAGTACTACATTCTTAGGATTTGTCTGTTGTGATATTATGGTATAATACATATTTGGTCTTTGACCATGGTTCCTGGTATAGGGATCCTGAAACCCCCGACTTAAAGGGTTTAGGTGGAAACTGACAAATTTGAATAGATGTCGCATTATGAACATTTATAGATGTGAACAAGTCGTGGAAGTAGCTCACTTGTTGACCTTACCATTTTAAGGTGACTATAAAAGTAAAAATAGTTTACTTACAGTATTTGTGTGGGTGTTTGGCTCTTTTATGCTTTACAGTGTTTATTTGTCAAAGGTGTGTTAAGACTTACTTTGTTGGATTACGAATGAATCTGACTTACTCCCTGAACGGAACCCATTTGTAAGTGTAATTTCCTGAGTAATAGGGGAATTGGAAGAATCTTACTCTGCTAGTTGGTCTTTGACAATAGTTCCTGTGACTCTTGGTGGGCTCCTGGATGCCTCTGCATGGGGGCCAATTTGCCAGAGGAATCAGCTGTGTGATCAGAGGGTTGGAACTTTCAGCTCGTCCACGTATGAAGGGTGAAGGTTGAGTTGATCACCAGTGGTGTAATTAGTCATGCCTGTGTAAGGAAGCCTCCGTAAATCCCAGAAGGACATGGCTCATACGACATCCAGACAGCTGAGCATGTGACAGTCCCCGGAGAATGGCATGACAGAGAGGCATGGAAGCTCTGATTCCCTTTTCACATGTCCTGCCCACTCCATCTCTTCATGTAGCTGTTTGTCTCTGCCCTTTGTAAAAATCCTTTATTAATAAATTAGTAAGTGTAAGCAAAGTGTTTTCCTGAGTTCTTCTGTGAGAAGTTCCAGCAAATTAAAGGAGGGGGCTTGTGGGAGCCCTGATTTATAGCCAGGATTGCAGAAGTACTTACCATTGGTGTCTGAAGTGAGTGGCAGTCATGTGGCCTCAGCCTCGTAGGATCTGACACCACTGCAGAATTGTTTCTCCTGCGGAGCAAAGTCCTCACACATCTAGGGTGAGAAGTGTGTTGAGTGAGAATGGAGAATAGTGCATACAGTTTGTTTTTACCTGTTTCTCAAAGCTGTATTAAATCTTTCTTTACCTAGAAGACTTTTGAGACGTTTCTGTCTGTAAGGGTAGGTTAGCAGGTAATGACATGTGCCATGTAAGGCCCTATGATCTCCATCCTCAAGAAGACTTAACTAATGCAAGGACCTCACTTTGATCCCCGGTACCAAAAGAAAAAAAAAAAGACTTAGAAGAGAGGCAGGAAAAGGGAAAAGAGGGATTAGAATTAGGATGAAGAATCACCTGAAAGATAAAACCATCTCTTGGAAGTACCAGAATGGGGCCAGGGATTTAGCTCAGTGGTTCTGCCACCTGCCTCGCAAGCGCAAGGTCCTGAGTTTGATCCACAGTACCAAAAAAAAAAAAAGTACCAGAATGAACTGTGAATTTTCCAAAAGGAGGAGCCTGCTACCAGTATTACTAGAACTGGTGACAGCATTGGTGTGCAGAGCGGGGGAATGGGATAAGGACAGTGGTGCACACCTGTAATCCCAGCTCCTTGGGAGCTGAGGCAGGAAGATCCTTGAGGCCAGCCAGGGCTACATAGTTAGACCCTAACTAAAAAAATTTTAAGGCGCTGGAGGTGTAGTTCAGTGGTAGAGCACTCCAGGGTTTGATTCCCAGTACTGTACCACAAAAGAGAGAAAATGGGAGATGACAAATTCTTAAAATGGATGTGGCACAGAAACATGTTTTGTGCCCCAATCCTGGCTATAGCCAGGAAGGCAATGTCCAGTTTAAGAAGTTCAGTTGAAAACACTGCACGTTGCGTGACACCTGGGTTCACTCCCAGGCACTGCACTACCCTCCAACCCTTAAGGCAAACCCAACCCCATCCAACTCCACCTGATCCCAAGCCACCCAAATCAACCCCAGTGCACCCCCCGACAAACTGCAAGCCTCAGCTAGTTCAGGTCAGCCTCAGCACAGATGTCACTTGTACACCCATTCCCAGGAGATCTGCCCCTCCTACCACTTCTTCCTCTTCACGGTCAGTACATAATTCTTAGACTCCCTCACATGGGTGCCTTTCAGGGTGCTTCGGTCTCCCTTCATTCTTCCAGCCAAGTGATTGATTATTGTCTCTAGAGTGACGCCCCTCCCCCCACTTCTATTTTTCAGTCGTTTAATCCTGTTTTTTTCCTGCCTTAGGGATCAGAAATGCAACTGTCTACAGATAATGTGAACAAGTCCTAATGTTAAGGACTGTGACACGTTGCCCAGCTAAAGGGGAGAGCTATTCCTTAGTTCCATTTGTTGCCACGGGGGCATATGGATCCCTTGTTGCCAGATCCCAGATGTTTCCAGAGGACTAGGAATCTGAGGGTTTAGTGTGCCCTCGGGGTTTATATGTTCCCATTTAATTCACTTTTTTTTTTGTACTGGGGATCAAACTCGGGACCTTGTACTTACAAGGCAGGCGGTGACACCACGGAGCTACATCCCAGCCTAATTCATGTTTTTAAAACATGACACTACTCTTTGCAGGATTTGAAACCTCTGCTCTACATCTTGTGTAAGTTTGAAGCTCATAGTTGCGCAGTGTTAAGTATTTGATAAGATAAAAGAGGCATCTCTTTTTTTCTTTTATACCTTAATATATTTTGCATTTTAGGTTTAAATGCATATGGTATGTTGAACTTATTTTTGTGTTATGATGTGGGATAAAGATTCAGGTTAATTTTTTTAATTTATTTTTTTTCTTTTTATTGAGTTTATTGGTACATTTTAGGTATACAGTACAGTTACATTCATTACTGGGATCTTGTACCTCTACATGACAGGTCTTGGTTCTCATTTTTTCCCCTTATCCCTGCCCTCCCTTCACCTCCTCCTCCCCTCCCCATTTACAAACACTTTATTTCCATTTTTTAATTTTCTCAGATACTTTTCCTTTCCCTTATTCCCCTTCCCCTACCCTTCCCACTTTCCCTACACCTTTAGCCCTTTTCTTCCTATTTCACATTGTTAATTATCTCCTTAGGATCTTGTGTACTATTATAGTTTTTCACACCAGAGAAACTATTCTGTATTTACACATGTGTGACTTACTTATTTCACTTAGGAGTATATCCTCAGTATGTATCCATTTTCCTATGAATGACTCTAATTTCTCATTCTTTATGGCATCTCTTGTGTCCTGTCAGTTGAATTCTTTGACATCTTCCTTGAAAGATTATGTGTCATTTCTGAATGAAGGCAGTTGAGAAAAACAAAATTTTTCTCGTACTGGGGATCAAACTCAGGACCTTGTGCTTGCAAGGCAGGCATGGTGCTGCTGAGCTAAATCCCTGGCCCAATAAATATTATTTTGCTCTGAATATGCCTGGTGGTTTTCCTCTGTGAAAGGGGCTTTCACAAAAAGACCTAAAATTGAGGACTAAGAAAATCTGCACACCCAAATATATGACTTCAGGATAAAGACTAGTCCGTCCTCATAGCACTGGGGGCCCTAAAATTTTGGTTTAAAAAAAAATGCACCTGGTGATGTGGTGGCATATACTTAGAACCCTAGCACTGAGGAGGCTGGGGTGTCAGGATTGCCAGGACTTTGAGACCAACCTGGGCTACATGGTGAGTCAAGGCAAGTCTGGACTGCATAGTGAGACACTGGACCCTGTCTCAAAAAACTGCAGCAACAATACCAAAAACAAATGCTGCAACCCATACTTTTGTTTTTGAGACAAGTCTTGCTATATATTCAGGCTGGCCTTGAACTTGGTGTGTATCCCAGGCTGCCCTGAAAATCCTAGTATTCTTCATGCCTCAGCCTTCTGGGTGCACTGCCATGCCCTGTTGCCAAGGCCGATCTTGAACTTGTGACCCACTTGGAGGCTTCAGCCTTTCAGAGTACTGGGCTGACAGGTGTGGGACACTACACCCAGATCTGGGTGAAATATTTGTTAGTGACTTTATCACCTTGTTAGAGAATAGGAATTTTTGTTTTCCAGCTTCTTGATGGAGCAGGTGTAAAAATAGGTCTAAAATGTTACTTATTTCCCCCTCCCCCCTTTTTAGGTTTTCAGAACAAAAATAGAGTTGCAATCTTGGCAGAATTGGACAAAGAAAAAAGAAAATTACTTATGCAGAACCAATCTTCAACAAATCATCCTGGAGCTAGGTATTAACTGTTATTTTCTGGTGCTCTTATTAGCCATATTTTTCAACATAATGTGCTGTTTAACACTCTTTGGAAGTCTCCTTTTACTATTAGGATAAAGTCTATATTTTATAATGCTTTCCATGACCAGTATCCTACTTATGTTGAGAGTCTTTATTAATTCCTGTGATGGCATGTGCTATATTTCATCAGAATTGCTGTTTTCTGTGAGCTCTGTCTTGCACATTTTATACTCCTAGTGCTTACATATAGCTAAATACCTAGTAGCTGCTCTATAATCTGGTAAATAAGTACCTCTAAATTTGGTTATTCACTCAAAATAGTTCAACGTACGTGGAATATGGCAATTTTTAAATTATCATATGAACAAAAATGTATGGTTTTACTACTGATGAATATCCTGTGATTTGTTTTTAACTGTTTTAAGAAATAATGTTAATAAATATCATAATAATTATGGTACCTCAAATCTGTTTGAAAGTAAGGGGCTGCCGGGCATTACATGCCTGTAATGCCAGCATTCGGTGGGGGGCTGAGACAGGTGGATGGTTGTGAGTTCGAGGGCAGCCTGGGCTACATGGCAAGACCCTGTCTCAAAAAAAAGGAGAGGAGGCAGCCATCAATTATAAATATTAAAAAGTAGATCACTTGAAATCTTAGTAAATATCGTAAGCTTTCTTCATATAAATTGGTGTAAGTAGTGGGAAAAAGGGAAAAAGACTAATTCTGGAAGGTCTGCTTTATCCCTGTAAGGAATATACAGCAAGGGGTTGGGGATATAGCTCAGTGGGTGGGTGTGTATGGGTGTGAGTTCCAGCACCACAAAAAAAAAGAAGAAAGAACCCTCTTCAGGAGATTTATTGTATGCCTTAGTGACTCTAATTAATGACGAAGGGGCCGGGGATTTAGCTCAGCGGTTCAGTGGCCTGCCTTGCAAGCGCAAGTTCAATCCCTGGTACCAAAACCAAACCAAAACAAAACAAAACAACAACAACAAAAAATTATTGATGAATATGATGTATACTTGAAAAGAGAGTAGATCTTTAATATCCTTACAATAATCAGTATGTGAGGTGATGGATATGCTTATTAGCTCAGTTTAACCATTTCACAATGCATATAAATATCAAAACATGTTATTGCACACGTAAGTATATATGCCCCAATTAAAGATAATTTCCTACCATTAAAAACAAAAAAAAGTAAGGATGCATCTGCCTCAAGCAGTGAAGTCACCAAGATTCCCATTTCAGCATTGCCCTCTCCAGGCCCTCTCTTAATAAGGACTTCCGGGACCACGCTGAGCAGCAGCATATTGCAGCCCAACAGAAGGCAGCTTTGCAGGTGAGCAAAGTGAACGGACATTCTTGTCCCATTGGAGATTTCCTGGGTCTAAGAGGCAGCACAGTAGTTATTTTTTATCTCAGTGGAGCAGTATCAATAAAAATGTTCCACACACATAATTGCAGTGGTTTGCTGATGTTCAGTTATGCCCAAAGGATTTAAAGGCCCAATACAGCAGTAATGAAAGTATCTTTTATGGTGTTGACGTGGTCATGATTGATTCTGTGCTGTACCTGCCAAGGGCTTGCTGGTGCACAAAAAAGTTTAGGATATTTGGATGGACAGGATGATCTAGAAAATTGACCTGGCTAGTTTAATGGTACATATCATTACATCATCTGGTTTTAAAAATTTGTTTGGGTTTTTTTTTTTAATGGCCAGCTCTTTGAAGGCTAAGTCTTTACACGGGATTAGAATGTGATTCTTCATCAGTTCAAAAGCATGTCACTCTTAAATAATAAATAGTTTTCATGTTTCATTCATCTTGGATAATTTAAGATTCCAAGAGACCTTGGATGAGATACTGCTTTGTGTTGTTTTGTTGTAATGTAATTGCTTATGCTTTTAAACTTTGGAATCCCAGGGCCGGGGATTTAGCTGGTTCTGCTGCCTGCCTTATAAGTACAAGGTCCCGAGTTAGATCCCAGTTACAAAAAACCCAACTTTCAAATCCCAGAATTGGTAGGGACGTTATAAAGATTATCTCCCTTTATTTTTATTTATTTATTTTTTATTATCTCCCTTTAGACAAGTTAAAAACAGCTTCTTTTTTTCTTTTTAATGACAGAAATTACTGATGATTTTCTGGTATTTACATTCCAGTATTCTCTAAAAATGTTGCTATTTTTTAATAACCAATAATTGCCATCTTTTTCACCTCTCCTCTCTGTCCAACCACTGCCCTTCCTTCTCAAGGAAGGGCTTAGCTGACCAAAAGCAGAGTACATTGGGACCCTTCATGCTAGATTTTCTCCATAGAACAAAACAATTCATATCTTTGACTCATCGCTTGACTGAGAAGAATCCCAGAGGAGATGAGGGGATGGAATGCCTGGTGCAATTTGTTAATCCAAATTCTGTTGTTCATCTCCTGTGTATTTAAACAAAATGAACAACTTAAGAACTGAGTTTTAAATAAATTTGGTCTCATGCACTCAGAAAGGATAAGTAACTAATGCCATGGCTGTGATTCCTTTTTTAAAAACTGATTCTTAATAGCTTAATTGCTTTTTTTTAAATCTCAGCATGCTCATGCACACTCATCTGGATACTTCATAACTCAAGACTCTGCATTTGGGAATCTTATTCTTCCTGTTTTACCTCGCCTTGACCCAGAATGAAGAAAATATCCGTGATAAAAGGGACTTTGTACTTTCAAAGGCCAAAGCAACTCTCATTCACTGCAGTACAAACTGTGACTTTCAGAATTTTGGTGGACTTATTTAAATGAAAGCAAAAACAAGGGGACCCAGAATGACGGGAGCGTGGAAGCTGTATCATTTGAGGAATTGATGCTGCCCATGGCTTTAATTTTTTTGTAACGCCATTTGCTTTTTAACTCTAAATTGGATAGTCACATGAAATGAGCCTCCCGACCCCAACAAGTTGGACTGAGTATACCATGTCTACAGTTGGCTTTCAAGATCCATTTATATAGTACTTGTTAAAGAAATGAGGATTTTTAAAAACGTTAACCAATACCTTAAATAAGAAATTCATATTTAGTTTATAGGATTGATGTGGTATTATCGTTTGAATTTAGAGTCAATATATCATGCAGAAATATTCTTTGTGAACTCTTAACTAGTTCCTCTGTTCTCTGTTTTAAAAGAAACTCCAAGACAAGAATAAGTTACTAACCAGTCTTAATATCTTTTCTAAACAAATGCCAATATAAATGATATAACTAAAGGCTGTTAAAAACAATAAGAAATGTGGTGGCTTCAAAATTTGTACTTCTCTTATTTAATTACTGTATAAATGGTGTGCCTGTGGGTTTTTTTTTTTTTGTCCTTTAAAAAATCTAAACACTTAAAGTTATGCAGGTTAAGGTGGGCGTCACAATGCACATCTGTAATCCCAGCTACTTGGGAGACTGAGTCAGGAGGATTGCAAGTTCAAGGGCAGGTTAGGCCATTCGGTGAGACCTTGTCTCAAAATTTTAAAAAAGGCTGGGGATGTAGCTTAATGGTAAAGCATTTACCTAGCACGTGGAAGGCCCTGGGTTCAGTCCCCAGTACCAAAAATAAATAAAATTTTGAAATTATGCAAATCAAGACCCTTTAAAATCACTTTAAATAGGAAGAAGTAGATTAAGCAAGTTGTTCAGCATGATCTATCCTTAACAGAATCTAGGGTGCTTAGTTACATATATAGTCCCCATTCCCCTACCATACCTAGGTCTACAAAATTAGATCTGATTCAAAATAAAGTCTGAAAAAAATGGGTTAGAAAATTCTGTAATATATTTTGTTCAAAATTTACATGATTGAAATTGTGTTTTATACTATCTCACAGATACAGGTTAGGGGGGTCCACACCCCAAGGATTGAACCCAGGGCCACCATGTACATACTCAGTGCACACCCAGCCTATGTGTGTGCGTATCTGTTTGGTATGGCGGATTGAATCCAGGCCTTGGCACTGAGCTACATTCCCCAGTCCTGTTTGTTTATTTCTTTATTTTGGCTTTTTGAGACAGGGTCTTACTGTATAGTTCAGGCTGGCTGTGAACTCACTATGGAACCCAGGCTGGGCTTGAACTCAAGATGATCTTCCTGCCTCAGCCTCCCAAGTGCTAAGATATCAGGCATGCACCACCACACTTGGCTTTATTTTGAGGTAGTGTCTCACTAAGTTGCCTGGCTTAAACTTGGTGATCCTTCTACTTCAGCCTCCACCCCTGTATAAATTTTTATAACTTACCTTTCCCATCATCTCTAGTAGTAGGACAAAATTTAAACTTAGAATTCTGGTTTTGGTTAATATTTAGTCATAGTTTCTTCCCTTTTCATAATTCTTCTAGAACTTTTCACCAGCTACATAGCCTCATCCTGCCCAAACTAAGTGAAGCCAGGGTGTATAACTATAGATTGGCTGTGCTATTTAGATTTTTTTCAAGGTACTTGGATTGAATCCAGGGCCTTGTACATGCTAGGCAAGTGAGCTACCATCTTGCCTGTCTGCGGCTGAGATTACAAGTATGTACCACCATGCTTGGTGCTATGTAGATTTTTTTTTTTCCCCTCAGAAGAATTTGAGCTATAGTAGCCCTCATTTTCTTGAATTTCCCTAGGTTTCTGTTCTGTGGAATATGACATACAACTTAATTCTATATCTACTGATATTAGGGAGATAAAATATTTGTAGGATTTTTTCATGTGCTTCTACTACAGTTATGATATTTGTAATCCAAATAAAGAGATCTTTTTAGCAGTGGTATCCTTTCCTAGCCTTTTAAATAGATGTTACCACAACCCTGCAGTTCTAGCTGGAAAGCACTTCCTGCCATCTCTCTGCTTTGTATCAGTTACAAATTAATTCCATGTGGATTTATTACTACTGCTCTGTCAAGCACTATGCTGTAGGGGCTGAGAAGCTGGGTGACACCTGCTTGTGGGGTGGAGGTCTTGGTGCAGAGGCTCCTGCTCCGGGGCACCAGCAGGCATTGAGCACCAGAAGCACCTGTGGCACAAGAGGCATCCTGGAGCATGTTGAGGTCTGAGCAGGCTTAGACATAGTCCTGTGACTTTATCTGGCAAGGGAATGCAGAGCTGCTCCAGGCAAAGGTCAGTGTTACACAATCGGAGAAATAGGCCCTGAGCCAGGAGCAGCACTGTAGAGGATCATGGGGGTGGCGGTAGACCACCGCTTCCCTGGGATTGTGTGTGAATTTGTGTAAATCAGTTAACCTCTCTGCATGTTTCTCAGTCTGTAAAATAAGAACAACATGCTCTGCCATACGAAAGTGTAAGTCTCAATTCACTCCTGATTGAGAAGCCAACAAATGGTTTAATATGGTGTGACCAGCATTTTTTTTTGGAAACATAAAATAGAAAACATCAGTGTCTACTGCATGTAGTAATTGGTGATTTTGTTCCATGAACTTTCCGTTTCTGTGTGTCTGTCATGTATTTTACTTATTTTATTGTCTGTCCCACTAGTGTAAGTCTGAAGGCAAGTATTGACTTTCCCTCGTTCCTTCTTTCTTTTCTGCTTCATTCACAAGTGTACCCTCCTTAGAATAGAATTTGGCATTTAGTGGGTGTTCAGTACTTACTTGTTGAAGGTGTGAATGGAAATAACATATGACTTGGGCAGTATAAAATGTATTTTTTACTGTGAGTCATGGCAAAGTAGATTTGAAAGCCACTGCTAAATAATTTAGATGACAGTGCTTTGTATGATACTGGAATAAAAACTGGTTTAATGATTTCAAAGGTAGGTTTTTTCCCCTGAATAATTTGTGAACTGTCTCAGTTGTCTCAATTCTTTTTTTCCCCTCTGGCGGTAGAGTCTCAGCCTTTATGTAGTCCAAGGCCCACTTGGGCAAGGAATTTGACAGAAATGGTTCCAACAGGGAGAACGTGAAGTGCAGTTCAGCTAGCTCGAGTCCCGCTGCAGTAGCATTACAGTCACCGGATGTATGAAGCGCTTTCCTCATTCCCTCATTCACTGCTGAATGTGCGGTGACGAGGGCACAATAGACGCCGAAAAATTTCCTTTCCTCTCCCTCCCTTCCTCCCTTCTTCCCCTGCCCCCTCTTTCTTTTTCCCATGGTACATAAACACCTACTGCCTCGCAACATACCAGCCTCACATTTTTTTCTTTAAAAAAAAAATAAGCAAATTAAAAAAAAAAAAGAGCAAATAAGGGCCGGGGATTTAGATCAGTGGCACCGTGCCTGCCTTGCAAGTGCAAGATCCTGAGTTCCATCTCTGGTACTGCAAAAAAAAAAAAAAAGCAAAGAATGAACGTGGACCACGAGGAGGACTAGAACA